TCTGCTTGAATTTGCTTCGACATTCCAATCTTCACTTCGATCTTTTATCCAAATGGGCAACCAAAGACAGCAACCAAAACCGGCGCACGAAAGTGCATGGTTAATGGTTGTAAAAACTGAAACTGAAAACTGTGTGCTTACCATAAGGGTTGGCTCTCGTTTCCTATCCCCCAAAATTGGTCTAATCCGTATCCTTACACATTCTCACTTACTTTGTATGCAATATGATTGTGGCAGCGATGAGTGAAGTTTGCTTTGCTATATTGCGCTGTACGACAACTACGACTGTTTACTTGGTTCGATTACTCCTCCACCATTATACCGACTGAGACACCAACTCGAATCGAGCCCCTCAACGTGGAGGGCCAGGAGACTGGATTTTGTCTGAGCTCTATCTTTCGACCTTCCAGACACAATTGGACCTTTGGTTCAACAAAATCTATCATATGTAGTTAATCGGGTGACCGAGGTGTATAAACCATCACGTCACATCAGGGACAGTCTCGTCACCGCCAGAAACAAAAGCCCACAGTAAATTGTAAGCCATAGCTGCAAGTCGACCTTCAATGCGGTGCTCCCTCATTGCTCCTCAGCTAAACTAGTCGTCACAGGACCCAATGAACGCGAGGAGCTAATCAAAGGAGCTATCCAAAAGTGGATTTTAGAACACGATCAAAGCACAAAATCTGGGTTTCCTAGTCCTCTGTTGTTTTGCTAGATCCTCACAAAGTCGTTCCTTGGGATACTGAGTTTGACGCTGAACCCAAATCGACCACATCGCCATCAGTTACCGCTGGAGCGGATCGATTCAAGACTGCCGCTCTTACTGGTCAACACGTGTGAATACAGACCACTCCTTGTTACGAGCCGAATTCTCCTTACACCTGGCAAATAACCCCGCAAAACCCACTGACAACGAATATCCAGGATGCAGCCTTCGCGTTTGTTGCAAATCAGCCTTCGAATCGGAGCTCTCCGACCGCCTCTTAGTTCAACCAATGAACTCAATGAACACGGGAAGCAAATCAATGAACTCATGGCCTTCCCCCTACTCTATTTAAAGATGGTAGAATAGAGTTTGTTAGAAAACTACAAGTTCTGTTCCCTACAGTTTGGAATACTAAGCAGGTCCCCTTCTCGTGGGGGAATCGATTGTCATCCCCATCCTCAAAAAGCGCCCGCGGGGGCTGGGTTTTGCGCCGGTCATGAATGCATCAATCAAATCTTCACCCTTCGACAGCTGCTAGAGCACCGTCATGCTTATCTGAGACCAACGATTATTGTATTCTTAGACATCCGCGCGGCCTTCGACTGTCGATAGGACCGCACTATGAAACAGTTTCTTGATGATTAGAGTACCTGAGAAGTGTGTCGATTCTCAAAAAGTTGTATCGTCATACCTCAGGTCGGGTTAGGGCCTACGGCCAACTTTCGCCACCCTTTGCCGTCTCCAGTGGAGTTCGGCAAGGCTGCCCCATATCCCCATTCCTTTTCAACTTTGTCATAGAGGATGGTCTGCAGAATACTTTGTCCGGTATAGCAAACGGTGGAGTCGAACTCCTCCCAGGGAACAGAGTCCTTGACTTAGAATATGCCGATGACATCGCCTTGCTGGGTGACAACACACAGGCAGTGCAAAACGCTTTAAACCGCTTGGCGATAGAGGTATGGTATGTGCTTTGCACCATCAAAGTGCAAAGTGCTGGTACAAGACTTGCAGGAGCCTGTGCCTGCACTCACCATCTGTGGTGATCATCTGGAACTAGTTGAGACCTTTAAGTACCTCGTGAGCTTAATCGCAGCTGGTGGTGGTGTTGAGGAGATCACATCATGAGAAGCGAAAGCTAGAGCCGCTTTCTCCAACCTGCGACACCTGTGGCGCTGCCATGAAATCCAACTGTCCCTTAAGCGAAGGGTGTACATCACCGCGGCTCGTAGCGTTCTACTTTACGATTGCGAGGCCTGGTTCCTTCGCGTTGAGGATGCTAATCGACTCTGTGTATTCGACCACTGGTGTCCCCGAAGCATTGCTGGTGTCTGGTGGGAACACCGGATGAGCAATGACGAGGTTCGTCGTCGTGTTTCAGGCGTGGATGGTCGTTCTCTAACAGAAGTAATCGCTCTACACCGCCTCCGATGGCTTGGTCACGTATTGCGTATGCCTGCCTATCGACTACCTTTCCGTGCCCCCTTTGCACGTGCCGGGAAAGACTGGAAGAAGCGCCATGGTGGTCTGACCATGAGGTGGTGTAGAGGTGTGAGGATGCTGGCCTCTGGTAATGCAGTCCACCTTCCAGGTTGGGGCCCAAGGGATGAGGATTGTCGCTGGTTAGAGACCCTGAGAAATATGGCTTAGAATGGATGTCAGTGGCGCAGATGCTCTACGGTCTGTTTCCTGTAAAATCAGAAAAACATACAGCACAAATAATATGAAAAGGTTTACTGTGAAGCACACGCACAATCTTGTTACTCCAGTTACCTACTTTTTCTGTTTTACCTATTCCACTTTCCCCCTTTGCGCTGTATTTCAGCCCACCTACCCCATGTTATTGTTATTATTGTTTTGGTGTTGGCACCATGCTTGTTTACAAGCCGGTGTAAAATATATATATATATCTTCAAAGTGTGTAACAGCGGGATATCAGTAGTGACGTTCTCCTGTCGTTTTTTATCCAGTCATGGTGCTTAAGTAGATTCGTTGGTTCAGTCAGACCATGTGCTTCCCAAATTGGTCGTTTACGTTTTCTTCATTTCTACCCTGTACCATATTTCGCCGAACAATTGTAATTTTTTTCCTTCTGAGGTGTTCCATTAACATCGCAGTATGGTTTATCTAAGAGCATTATTAACTGTTTCATGTTTTATTCTTCATCATCAGCACAATGTCTACAACCTCCGAAGCTCCAAAAAAGGTTGGATATTGGTATTTTGGTGGTTGTGCAAGTGCAATGGCAGCCGCATGCACCCACCCGTTGGATCTAATCAAAGTCCATTTGCAAACGCAACAGAAAAAGGAGGTCGGTATGATAGGCATGGGGATCCGTGTGTTCAAACGTGACGGATTTTTTGCGCTATACAACGGCATCAGTGCTTCAATTTTACGTCAGTTGACCTACTCAATGACGCGTTTCGGTATGTACGAGACATACAAACAAAAGAAAGGCGGGAAAATGTCGTTTGCTGAAAGCGGTGTGGTGGCGTGTGTTTCTGGGTTTTGTGGAGGCATTGTCGGAAATCCGGCTGATATGGTAAACGTCCGGTATGTTGCTTTTCCGTAATTCTCGGTCATTCGATGTTTCATCAGACTGCTTCCGAGTGATGCTCTAGGCATCGCTATTCAAGCAAGTTCTCATCGTCAAGTGTTCGTATACATATGGGTTCTTCAAATTACTTTGATAACTCCTGTCCTTCACACTACAGTTTTGGCTTTGAAATGAGATTACTTATACTAGATTTGTATTTAAGTCACGTCTTACATTTATTTCAGTTTGATCCAGTCAAAGGGTACCTAGGGAGGATTTCGATCAAGTTTAACTTCTCACTAAAAACACCCTACAGAAATCAAAATGTAACTTAGTTAACAAAGCTAAGGTCGCAGAGGGTGATTGATTTACACTGTCCAATTAAATGACAGCTAAAAGAAAAGCAGACATCTTTCTTATTTTTATAATTCCCCTGTATATATATTAAGATTCCTTTACTATTTTGTTTTGAGCTTTACCATTAGACGAAAATGTTGCTTTACCTTTATCTTGGATTGTTTATCAACCTTTATGGTTGTTGTTATTGTTAATGTGTTTTTTCGGATAGTGTCAGTCACTAGCAAAAGATATACCACCATTTATTGAGACATTACGCTCTGTGATTGCATTTTTTACTCTACCTTTACAGTTATGTAAGCTATTCAACACACAACAATTTAGTAGTGTATCACAGTTCGCATGATTAAATATTCTCCTTTCTGTCTATTGGATGCTTAGATGCTTATATATATATATATATATATATATATATATATATATATATATATATATATATATATATA